CTGTGTCCTTCATTAACCAAATCTTTGTATTTGCACCAGGGACTCTGGTTTACTTTATTAGGTAGATTCTGTGGCACTTTCCTCACTTGGCATCACTGTGGATCTAGCCGGTTTCACTCATGAAAGCTCATGCTTCTGATTCTCTCGTCATCACTCAAAGCACAGCTGCTGGCGTTTGGCTAACAGCACTGCAGCACCCAGTTCACCTCTGGGTCTGTCTCCTGAAGGGCTCAGTGCAGAAACGGCTACTCAGGAAGTTCCAGGAGCGTCTGACCTCGGCAAGGGATAATCTGTCTGCTTCCTAATAAAAAGGAACAATTCTCCTAGGCTACCTTTGATCCCCACTGCAAACAAGCCAGGAGAGAACGGTCATGGGAAAACCTGGCCCGCAGGGCCTCTGGTGAGTTAATGAACCACCACACACTCTCGGGTCAGGAGGTGGCCTCACAAACACACTCTACCTGCAGTTGTTCCAGGAGGTCAAGGTTCTGTTTGCGTAAGCTGCTGTTGGTTTTCTCTAATTTATCCATTCTTTGGTTGTCACTGAGAGGAGAGGAATCGATGAGTTCTTCTTGAAGCACATGGTACTCAACTTCGTAAGCTTGTAGCTGTTTTGAGATGTCCATCTCAAACACCTGTTATGTACAGAAGAGTCATCAGGCACTGAGGATGAGAAAAAGTCTCTCTCTCGCTCTCTCTCACACACACACAGACACACGCACACAGAGCCATGTCAACGGGCATCCAACCAAGCACCTGATGCCGCCTGATACTGACTACCGACAAACAAGGAAAGCTCCTGAACTGAGAAGGTGGTAACTTCACTTGGGAAGAGAGGATATAAGAAGTATTTAAAAATAAGCCCAAGGTAATAGTAAGTGTGGGTCTCTAGCACTCATATTCCAAAAGCCAAAACCTTATTTTTTAAAAGGTTTACAACAATTTATTTTAAATTCTTGTTTCAGTACTTACACAGCCATTTTCTCTAAAAATTCTATTAGGTTAGATCAGCAACAATGGGGTCAGAGAGAGAAGAGAACAGAGAATCACAGCCCTATCTGCCCAGTCACTAGGTCAAAGTTTAATTACAGTTCAGCTGGGTTTTCAGAGTTACAAAACAGCTAAGTAATGGAACTGTTTACTGAACAACCCTCCTCTGCACATAAGATATGCAGAAATGAGCCAAAACCCAAATGTCACCCACACAGATGAGTGAATATGAAACAATGCCTGAGTTGCCTTCCTTCCCATAATAGTAACAGTGATGAAAAAACCACTCGTGTGAAAAACAACCCCGAAGTGCACAAGTGAGTGAGCTGTTCATGTTTGAACTTTCTCCCGGTGAGTAAGCTTGATGGAGGCAGGGCCAAAGAGGGGGTCAGAATTCTGCTGCCGCCCCAGGTATGAAGCCCCAGTGTGAACCTGAGAATTTAATCACCATATTAAAAATGCCAGCATGATCAGAACACACATTTGGAGAATGAAATTGGTCTTTATAAGAGCAGAAACTGACTCTTCACTGCATTTCCCTAAGAAACTCCAACGGAGTTAAAAAAAATCAATGAAAACCTCATTTCCCTTGATAGCATCCCATTAGCATTCAAACACTGGCGAGTCCTATCTTCCCTGAAATCAACTTTCAAAAACCATGTTTACTTTCTCACCATTCCCAGTAATCTTATTTTCTCTTCCTTAAGATTAATTTTTCAGCTTCCTGATTTTCAATTTAATTCAATGGCTAATACTAATTAGGCACAAAAGTCATTCTAGGCTGAAAAACTAATTATACATATTGTATCTGTGGGCGTGTGTGCACGCGCGCAGTCGGCTGTACTGATGTGACCCTCTGCTGTCCCTCAGAGGACCACGAGATCAGCAGGGATTATCTATTCCACAGTCAAGAAAACTGACTCAGAAGATTTGAGTCAGTCCTCCAGCGGAGCTGGGCTGGCGACTCCTTGAATGACCTTGAGCAAGTTACTTGCCCTCTCCTGGCCTCAGTTTCTGGCCTCCAACATGAGGGTGATAACCAGGCCTCCCAGCACCGCTGTGGGAATTGTGAGACACATGCCTGGCAGCCAGTTGAGCTGGTGCCCACTTGGCTTCCACACGCTTGTCGCAAAATCTCTCACACTCAGCCTTGTGCTGCAGCAAAATCACAAGGGGTGCCACATCATGGAACTTCTGAACAGTTCAAACAGAGCCAAAACCGCACACAATAAAACTGAGATTGCTGTGGCATGGGTGTGTAATTACAAATATGGTGCAGAATAAATGTCATTTACACAACTTTCCTTCTTCCACAGAGATTTTTAAATGAGCTCCCAACCTGGAAAACCTGGGAACGGAACCTCTGGCCTTTGATGCAGATTGACGCACAGCTAAGGTTAATGGCTCTCAGCTGTGCACAAGGCAGAGCACTCTTTCAGGCTTCCATTAATCCCTAGGAACCATCCCAGGTCATAATCATCTCTGCTTAATTGCATCATTATCTCCTGGCTGCCAAAACACTTGGAGCCCTTGATTTTGCAGTTGTGCCTGGGAATTTACGCCTGACTATGGCAGTGTGTGGCTGCTGGTGACAGGAGAGCCCTGGTCCTCGAACAACGCTTTTTCACGTTGCTGTACCTTCTTATAACCGTAACTATAAAAGGCTTCATGGTATTCTACCAACTCGACGAATTAACAACCGTGTTAATCCATTCATCATGTGTTGGGTATCCAGTTACTTGCAAGTTTTTGTTGTCATAAAAGACAACTCTCAGCATCCTCATATGTATGGCTTTTCCCATATTTTGGATTATTTCCTAAGCATATATTCCAAGAAATGGGATTACTGAGGCAAAGGGTATGAATACTGGCCAGTGAAATACATTACCAAATTGCTCCCCAAATGGGAATAATCAACATACAATGTCATTAGCAGCATAAGAATGTGCCAGATACAGTATATCCATTTCTGTTCTTGGCCCCTCTGCTCTTCAGCGTTTCTCTGCTGTCTGCGGACACTCTGTAGCGAGGCCATTTACCCTGCCAGCTGCAGAACTAGTCACATGCTTTCCGCCCGGCACCCGAACCCCCGAGCCTGGCGGTCTTGGTAGCGTACCAAGGGCTGCATGCAGTCCTCCCATGTCGGAAATAAGGGCGCAGTGTCTGCAGTGAACTTAAAGACAATAATAAACCCAACCAAAAGGTGATCTGCTTTTTATTATCCCCACATGCCAGCACTTCTAAGCAATGCCAGTGGTAACATACTCCTCCCTGCGTACCCCACCCTCTGTACGGCACTGACTGGCCTTTTAGAAAACTAATTCTCAACAGCGCAAGCCGTCCAAGCACGAGGGCTCCTCCCACAGCAGAAGGGGCAGCCTGGCCACTGGGACTGCAGAGAGCGTCTTCTATACAAAGAGACTTTGTGAAGATCCTGGCTTCTCTCCTACAAGCTCAGCTAGAGCAGAGAATCGCCTGGTGTGTTCACTCCGGAGTGGCCACGGCACAGCCTTCTGATGCTCCCCGCATGTGGATCCCCTGGGGCTCTCACTGAAAACGCGGGTTCTGACTCAGCAGGTCTGGGGAAGGGCCCTGATTCTGCAGAAGTTCCTACACGTTAAGATGGCGGTGCTGGTCTGGGGCCCGACTTTGAACACGGCCCAAAGGATGCTGGCAGTAGGCTGCTCGCCCTGCCTCCCAAGCCCCTCCACCTGTTCTCCTCCCCACATGGAACTGGGGCTGCACAGGCAACAGCACTTGCTGCTCCGAGACCTCGACCTGGACCCTCCCTTCTCTTCCCTTCGGTTTATTCCCCGGGCTTCCCCCCTTCTTCTGAGGGGATTTTTATGGCTTGCATCCAACTGACAGTTAAGCCACACTGAGGAGCTACCACAGAGCCTTCAGACCCTGCCTCTGCATCCTGGGCTCTGGCAGGTCTGGACCTGCCCACCCCCTGTCCCGCCGACGGCTGCTCCTGCCCATCTGTGCCGGGCGGGAGCGCCAGGGCCCTGCCCTTGGTTACTCTCTCCCAGCGGGATGTGGACTGTGCCCAGCCGCTCAGGCTGAGGCCTCCACAGAGGGGCATTTAACGAGATGGGGCCGTGGCTATCACAGAGGCCCACCCTGACTGTGCCCCTCCACACACAGAACACACTCGGCCGTGCGCAGGGAAAGCAGCTACCACACCCACCCTGGGGACGCCAAGATTCCAGCCTGAGGGCTCCCCAAGGCTGCAGAGAAATCGCACTGCACCTCAGGCCTCATCTCTGAGAAGAACTTGAGACCAGCGCACCCTCTGCAGGGAGGGGAGGGGAGAGGAGAGGAGGCAGCCAGAAGGCAGAAAGCCAGCCCTCAGAGGTCAAGTTCCAGATGGAACACGTGGGAGGGAAGGAGGGAGGGCAGAGAGCTGCCTGCCGTTATGTCTTGTTTCCCATTGGGACTTGTGGCAGGATGAAGACCTAGACCTCAAGATGGAGATCTGTGTTCCCCACACTCCACTTCCAATGCCCTCGCCTCCCCGGAAAAAACTGCACCCCGCGGGGCACCCAGAACTCTCGCTCCTGTGCCTTGGTGTGTCCGGTGAAGTGCGGAGGGAGCCGCGTGACTACAGCCCTGGACCAAGGCTGTCCCACTGTGTGCTGTCAATAAAGCCGCACTGCAGCACGGTCACTGCATTCCGACACACACCGGCTGTGGTTGCCTTCAGGCTGCAGGTGACCTTATGTGTCCTTACGGCCCTCACAGCCTAAAATGCTTCCTCTCCGGCCCCTGCAGAAAGGTGTGGCCACCCCACCTTCTCAGCACACTCTTCAGGCCCCGCCCAACTCAACCCACAACTGCTGCCAGCCCTGCTCCCTACACACTCCCTGCACGGCCCGGCACCGCCTGCACGAGCACTGCTGGAGCTCACACCACACTTGAAATTACTGGGTCACACTCATTTCCTGCACAGGATGGGCTTCGGTGTCCAAGGGCACAGCACACTCTTGGCTCTGTCCCTCTGCACAAGGTGCTGGGGATGTCGCTCCCTCTGAGCCCAGGGCCCCCATCTATACAAATGGGGATAATGATGCCATGCACCATGCCCCAGGGGTGTTAAGGAACCAGCGGAGTAAAGGATGCCAGGTTCCAAACAGAAGCCATTCAGGGACACACACAAAACTGTCCTCTCTCCACACTGTGTCTCTTTCTATACTTCCAACATGTGAAGGCAGACTTGTAGCCTCAGTAAGTATCCTTTACAGAAAAGGGGAGGGAAACAGAATTTTTTTTTTCTGTGCTCAACATCCAGGAGGTAAACAACATCAGGGAGGCTGCCTGCCGTAGAGCCAGGCCCCAGGCTCCAGGTCAGGGCACTCACTGGCGTGGAGTGCAGCTTAGGGAACCAAGGCTCGGGCGTCTGCCCCTGCAGCCAAAACACGGAAGTGCACGCAATGAAAGCTCAAAAAGGGAGTAAGTGCATGTAATATTCGAAAGTAAAGAAGTAAAGGGTGGAGAATTCAGTCTCGGAATACGGGTAAAATACAGCAAGCCGATGAACACCACCCTGCGGCACATGGTGGGGCAGAGCAGCCGCTGGGCGTCTGAAGGTCTGAGAGGGCCCGAGTCTGCAACCCCACCTTTCTACTTCGCAGAGGCGTGGCTGCGGGAAGCTAATTAACCGCTCAGCCCTAGGTTGCTAGTGGGTTAAAGCCACCGGCCCTCTCAGGAACACAGTCATGATCAAATGAGACCGCGTGCGTATGTGCAGATCCACACGGAACCCGGCAAAGAGCAGGGCCTCAACAAGCCGGAGCTATTCACACGGAGAGAGGCACCAGGGAAGGAACAAAGGGGACGGGGCAGAGAGGAGAGAGCTGCTCCCTCACACAGGCACATGGGAGTGGCACCCCGGGGGACCCTCTCCCCTTTCCAGGCCAGACTTGCCTCCTTCTCGGGGCTCAGCACCTAAGAAAGGGCAGCAGACAAAACCACAAATGCTGCAACTGGCCGCAACCCACCACTCTTGGACTGTCAGAAATCCTAAGGAGGACTTTTTAAAACATAGTTTTATCCCACAACTTGTTTTTACCTAATTGCTCTATATTTGGAGCAGGTGAGGTTAGTTCTAGGCTTCTGAGGCCCGACGCAGAGATCTCTTTCCGAGCACCCAGCCACCCGGCCTCTGCACACTTCCAAAGGTGACCTCACCTTCTGCACAGCAGCTCAGTCCTGCACGGTCAGCAATCATTACAGAGTCAAAATGCTCCCACTCCTAGCCCAGACCACTGGTCTAGCTGCAATGACCAGCTCACTTCGCCCACAACCCCTCACATTTCAGAGTGATGGTTCTACTGAACACAGAAACCAGAGGTGCTGAGACCACAGATGTGGAACTGAAGTCTATTAAAAACACACACACATCATGGAACAAACCTATAGAATATACTCATCACAACTCTGTATCAATAAGTTATTTTTAGAAAATTCCAGTTAAAACCATTCAGCACAAATATCTTAGCACTCATTTTACAAAAGCCTACGTTGAATAAAAATGTATGTATTTCAGAAGAACAAATGACGAGGGGTGTAGACTTAACTGTAAGAAAGTACTGACGGTTTGTGCGGGCTACCACATGCACACACTCACAGCACACGCACACTCGGACACACATTTAATCACGGAACACGTAACTGCGACGTGCCTCCCGCACACTGAGCAATGCTGCTCAGGACACTGAGTGGTAAGAAACAGCTCCCACTCAAAGGAAAGAGAAACTCAGCTCTGCACATCCAGGATTGCTGGAGCGTTCAGAAGGTCCGGGCTGAGTCATACCTGACTGATGGTCTTTTCCATCTGCACCAAGCCCAGGTTGGGGAGCGTGCTTTTAATAAAGTCAACTATGGTTTCTAGGTTTTCGTGCTGCAGAATCAAGGGCTTATGGCTTCCCAACAGACTTAAAGCCACTTTAAATATGACCTCTGATCCCTGAAGAAAGATCATATCTGCAGAAACACAGAAAATCAGAAAGTTAAACCAAGACCAGTTTACAGTCCATTTCCCTTCCCAGATGTTGAGGAGCAGGACAGTGGGACACGCAACCCCGAAGTGCAAGATGCTGATATGTCAGATACAGCTGTCAAGGTGATGCTGTAAATAATAAATGTATATATATATTTACACCAACATATTGCTGAGATTTGTCACAGTTTCAGATAAATCTTTTTCTGCTCCAAAAAAAAAATTAAATTTAAAAATACTTCAAAAGTTGAATTGTGGAAAAGAAAACTTTTTATTAAGTCTATTTTTCCAGGAATTCTCTGGATTTCCAAGGAGTTTATTGCTAAAACATATGTTTTCATGAGTAAAACAAAGATTTTAACAAATACTCCATCTTAATTTTTGATGCTGTTAAGGTGAAAAAAAAATGCCTCTCTTTCCTCTGCTTTGAAATAAGGGGTTGAATTAAAAGATCTCTAAAAACTGTAATAAGCCTGCAACCATTGCAAAAGTACATTATTAAATACTTACAAGTATACTGAATTTCAGCACAATAATGGAATAAAAAACATTGTTCCCTCTGAAGAATTCAAAGAACTTTGTCAGTATTTTCTAGTTCACACCATACTTTTCTCTTAGAACGGTTGGCAAATGTTAACAATCCCCAGCCCGACTGTGCACAGGGAGAGGGAGGGCATGTGGCCCAGTAGCCAGCCCAGCCCTGGCCCCCTTCCTCAGGGCTGAAGCCATCCGAAGACTCCAATGTCCTGGGGTCCACAGCACCAGTAACTAATCGTTGGGTGACTGAATCCTGGAAAGTTACCCAACAACTGGAACAATAATGTAAGAAAAAATATAATTTTAAAAGATGAGAGAATAAGTCTAATTAGAGGCAACTGTCAATATTTTTCTTTATTTTTTTTTTTTGGTCTGCAGGAGCATGAAAGAGTCAAAGAAGCTGCAAAGTGGAATTTGCAAGTCAAGGAAGACAAAAGCAGGTGAGAAGAACCCCCGGCGTGTGCCTCCCTGGGTGGTTTAGGGGGTGACATGTCAAAGCCATTAAGAAACAAGCCACTGAGTGAAGGCCGGATGCTGCTGTGCAGACAGGAGAGGTGTCCCAGGGTGGTTTGCGGACGGTACTCAGGAGAGACCCAGGCGCTAGCTGGTGGGTTAGCCCTGGAGACGTCACGTGAGCGGATGTGATGCTGGCCTGGGTGCAGCCCTGAGAGCAGCCGCCCTTACAGAGCCCAGGCCACTGTTCCCACAACTTCAAACAGATCCTGGCTCAGGGCAGCCCTGGGAAACCAGAAAGGACGGATGCTGCCTCCTCCTTAGGTATGGCTATGGGTGCGGGGGAGATAAACCAATCCTATCTGTGAAATTTGAGCTTCTTGAGGGAAGCAGGACCTGTATCCAGGCAGTGCTGTGGAAGACGACTCCTGTGAAACATCTGATACGGAAAAGACACAGTCTACCCATGTAACTTACTCCTGTAGGAGCATAAAGATCTAAACAGCTCTATAATGCACACATTTTTAAATAGAAATGATGTTTCCAAAAACAAAACAAAATTTGAAGTTTCTTTGGTTTAGACAGTAAAAATTCCTTTCAATATGTGAGTATTTGCAGCATAATAAAAATTGATGGCATCTATCAGAATAAATATCAAAACGCTGTGCAGGGATCCTGGGGAACGGACTGTACTACCAGGCTAATGATTTGCTATAGCTCAGACTCCGTGAGGCAAGTACCTTGCATTTGGACAGCCAATTAAAATAAACAGTAACTGGGAAATGTTCATGAGCATAATCAAATATGCAGTCCACATCCGCTGTCTCTTAAGATTAACAACTTGGGTTTTCTAAGTTTTATTCCTTTAGGATCTTAGTTTTTGTAACAAATCTACTTATGAGTAGAGTGCTTCCGTGATTCTAAACTTTTCTAAACTGTATGAATTAAAAACAAAGGGAATTTTGGAGAGGTGTTTTTTTTTCCTTTAATTCTCTTTTTGGTATGTTAAAAAAAAATAAATAACTACCCCTGGGCATGCTTATTTCATTTGGGGCTGTCTGTATTTAATATAATTAAAAAGAAATGTTTCTTTCCTAACCCTATTCTCAAACTCCTTAAGAGCACTCTTCTTACTGCTGAGAAGTTTCTTTAATTTAACAAGCACTCACTGAGCATCTAATACATGCCAAGTGTTGTACTGAGCAATGGGGAGTAAGCCATGAACAAAGCACAACAAAGAAGCCGCAGAGACACCAACTACCGCTTTGGTCGAGTTATGCCCAGGATGTTACAAGAACAATTGGGAAGAAAATGCCCAACAAGGAAAGGTGGCTGCCGAACCTCACCTTGAAGAACCAACAGAAACTCGCTGGGTAAGAAGCCAGGGAGTGATGCCCAGAGCAGAAGGAAAAGGTAGAAATGCAGAGAGGCCTGAAAGCACCACATCACACGCAGGAGCCTGAAAGAGTAGGTAAGACAAGAGGCCAGGCCGTGTGGCAAAGCGTGGGGCCAGACCAAGAGGGGCTTTCTACCCGGGCCAGGCCCCTCCGGCTGTCTCAGAGCACGTGTACCAGGGCCACCGAAGGCTTTCTCTTTCTCTTTTCTGAGTAGGTCAGCGCATTCCTTGGCAAGATGATGCAAATGAGACGCAGGTTATGGGTTTGAGCCTTGCAAGGGAGGGCTAGTTAGCTTTAGACAGGAAAAAGCCACTTTTTAAAAGCCACTAACAAGACCACGCTGATTCCCACCAGCAGGTGCCCTCGTACTGCTTCCAGCCACAGGATGCCTGGAAGCCACCCCAGGGGCCCATCCTTCTGAAGACAAGTAAGCCGCCCGACGGTTTGCATGAGCGAGGCTGGAAGAGCTCAGCTCCAGAAGCTTCTGTTAGACTGAGGGGGCCTCAAATAAGGATTTCCTTTGGGGACACAATGAAGGAATGTGACTGAAGGGTTGAAAGAAGGACTCCTCAAAGTTTTGCTGAGAGGAGGGGGCACCTACATTTATTTGATTGCACTTGGGGGCAATATCTATATCTCTTAAAGAGAATTAGCACCTTTTTCTTCCTCTGGAAATTTAAAAATTGATTAATTTTTAAGTAATAGGAAAGAAAAATGTTACCTATGAACCAACTGCTCCAACCCAATTATTGTCATTTTGTCCATCTCTCAATCCTTACACATTTATATACTGGAATTTTTTGGAAAAAACAATAATTTCCTTGGAAAAGTGAGTTAATTTCCTGCATTTGAAAATCACTGCATAGGGAAGTGAGCTGCTAAGCCTCCCAGTGGTGCGGCAGCCCTGCTCACAACCCTGTGGCCAACTTCCTTTCTTCTCTCCTTTTTCAAACCATGGAAACAGGCAAAGGGGTTTATCAGGCAGGAAGTAGAGGGAAACTTAAATTCAGCTGACTCCACCATTCTGCAAATTATTTGCTGAGAACATTGCAAATAACTACTTTGCTTTGAGACACTGCAGCAGCCCTGTTATTGTGTAAACGTGCATGGGAACCTATCTGAAACTCCCCATGATACAAAAGCGCAATTTTCCTCTGGGGGGAAATGATCAATGCAAAGCACGCGGCTAGCAGATGAACTTATTCTGCATCTCTTTTCTAACTACCTTCGTCTTTGTCAAGAGCAATCTCTCTCCTTAACTCTGGGAGGTCATAGTCCTCCAGCTGTGACACCCCCACATTCCTCCCAGGAACGGGGGGGATGGGGGGAGCACGGGAAAATGAAGGATGATGGCAGCCTTGCAGCAGGACAACAGCACAGATTCCACAGAGACTCACCTCATCACCACAGCCCCATCACGTTCCCTGAAGAGCTGTTTCTCCTGGCCATCTAAACAATCTTGTTTTCCATCTTTTTAATTCTGAAGACTCCTGGCATTCTTCCCTACATTAGTCTTCTGTTTTTTGGCATGTGCGTGCGCGAGCGCGCGCGTGTGTGTGCGTGCCAAACCCTCAGTTTTTCTACCCCACCTCCTCTCTCACCTACCTGGCAGCACATCCTACAGAAAACATCAGGAGTCTAACAATACTACACAGCCTCTACCTCCACCAGAAGCAAACTAGGTCCTGTTTCTCAAACTTTTTCCCCAAAGGTAGACATCATTAGAAGGTGAACAGAGAAAGCATCTCTCCTGGGAGTCCTCTACACCTGAACTGGAAAAACATAAGAAGAGGTGCTTTTACCTTATGTTGACACTCGGACAGAAGGACTGACATGGAGAGAGCTGTGACTAATCACCACAGGAGGGCTGAGGCACGTGCACCCCTGGCAGCTGCCCCTCCAAGTAGCACACACTTAATTCGAGGTAAGCTGTTCATCTATACGTGAGCTATGCCGACTGCGAGCTGAGAATCCCCTACTTACATACAAAACAGTGACTAGTTAACAAAAGTCCATTTGTTTTTCACTTTTATCCAGGCATAAAGGCCTTATAATGAAACAGGCCTCAAGCCAAAAAAGCCTACAGTGTATGAATGGCAGGCTTTGGGATTTGAAACGAAGCTACCCACCACTATGGAGCTAAAGGTCACTGATGCTAAATACAGAAAAAAAAAATTTTAAATCTACCTTTTCTATGGAAACTACTATTAAAATGGTTTGCTTTTAAGTACTGATAGAGGAAGTGGACTGTGCAAAACCCCAGCTGCTTCTGGAAAACGACATTGCAACACAGTGCTGACCTGGGTTGCCACCTCCTGCCTACGATCTGAGGAGCCCTCAGCCCTCAGCCAGCCGGGCATGAACCCACTCAGTACAGCGGGGATCGGTGGGACGCAGCAATCACACAGAGACTGGCATCTTTATGCACAAGAAACACCAAGACCCACCGCTGCCTGACAGTCTAAAGAAAAGGACCCCGCTTTTAGTGGCTTCAGCTTTATTTATGAAGTCATTAGGATGAGCTTCAGAGGGTCCCGAATACTCTGCAACAGGAGGGCTGTCATTTCCAAAGCACAGTTCGTTTGTTTGTTTGTTGTTAATGCCACTTATGCAGTCTGAGGAAAGACTGGTTTCCCAGAGTTTATGGGCCCGCTGCCCAGAACTCTGCAGCGCGGCCTCCCTGCCCGGGGCCGGGGCAGCAGGAACTCGGCGCTGACCCTCTGGGCGCTTCCTGCTCAGCCCCCTTTGCAGAATTTTCTTCACAGTGTAACTCGATGCTTGAGCTGATTTCAAACCATAAATAGGACTCCCTTCCCCTTTCAATCTTCGCTCCTCTCCATTACCCTTCTGAAAATTACAGCGAAGAATCCAGAGAAAAGTAAATAAGGTAGACCACCTATCTGCTTTTAATCTCCAGACCAAGCGAAAAACACAGAAATGCTTGGCAGGAAAGACTGAAGCCTACAGCTAGATACCTTGTAGTCTCTGTGACTCTTTTTTTCAGTAAACTAAGCAGAGAATTTTGAGGATTTTTTTTAAACTATGGTATAAAACATTCATAAAATCTCACTAATGATTTGTTTAACCAGGAAAAGAGTGTTAAGTATCGATCATTTTCAATGTTTATTTTTTTTAAAGACAAAAAATAAACATCAATTTGGGGAGGGAGCTATGCAAAAGTGGGAGGAGGGTGGTGAATATTTTAAGAACAGACTCTTCCAGGACAGCCACGTGGGGAACGCTCTAACAGTTCTTGTGGACAGAACTGAATGACAGGAAGGATCTAGTACCCTGGGGAGAGAGGAGGAGAGAAGACAGTGCCCACTTAAATTAAAAAGCGAATTTCAGGACTCATAGAATCCAGACAGATGAGTGGTCTGCCCAAAACTGCCTAAAATGACTCTCTTGACATCTGTGAACATTCCTTTTAAAAACATCTCTAAAAAAGTGTTAAGAGTACAGGTTTTTAAGCTATTAAGTGACTGAACATAAATGGCACTTTAAAAGCACTTGATGTGTGGTAACTACCAATTATTTAATAACCTCCTCCACACCAAAAAAAATAAAAGGAACTTGAATTGTCAGCATTATGATTTCATTCTGAAGCAGGGAACTCTCACTGCACAAGAACTGACTGTGCTCCCGGTGTCACTTGGCTCCTTGTATCCCTGCCATGTCACCGTGTCGAGGCGGGTTTCTAAACTGTAAAATTTTTAATTTTTAAACTGAGGTACAATTGCAAGGCAGTTTTGAGACTTTGCATGTGAACCCTTATTTAACTTTGACAGAGACAATCTTCTTTAAAAGTAAATCAGTAGAAGGGGAGATGGTTTGAAATGTGTCCCACCCCAGGGTTCCGGGGGCAGAGTGGGAAGACAAGGTGGGGATGGGTGAGAGCTGGCAGAGGAGAGGAAGGTGAGCCCAGGGCAGTGGGGAGAGGAGGAGGGATGCAGAGGGAACTGGGAAGGAACGGTGGCCCAGGAGTCACCGCTTGAGAAGTCGTGCAAGTGCCAGGCCAAAGAGGTCGAGGAAAACGACTCAGGAGAACCATCGCCGGACGGCGCGTCAGGCCCCTCAGCCAAGCCTTCACGCTGTCTGCCTGGTGGGGCTGCAACGGATCTAAGTCCCACAAGAAGGCAGCTAAGGGGCCTGCTGATCATCAGAAGTCAAACAGGTCCTGGAACTCACAAAACCTCATCATCTCCCCTAAACTGAGAATGACGAACAGCACCCTTTCTTGCAGAAGACACAGGCATAAAAGAAGAGACCACGGAGTGACAACACTGGTCTCACCTAACACGAGAGCACTGGTTCTGGCAGACAGACTTACACACACTCACCGAAGACTCTGGCCACGAATCCCAGCGGGAACTGGGAGGCAAACACAGTGAGGAACCAGGGCGCGGCGTACAGGCTGGGGCCGATCTCGTGCTCCTCCAGGTGGTTGTAGAGGTCTCGGTGGTAATCGTGGAGGAGCCTGGAGAGCTGGTACATCTGGATCTGCAGGGACAGGCATGCAGGGGTCATGGGGAGAGAGCAGTTACCCCCTCTCCCAGGGTGGAAGAGAAGGACCATCAGAACCTTCGGGGGAGGTCCCTCATCTCTCCTTTATCCAGCGCGTGCTGGCTGGGGCTGCTGCCGTGGGGCAGGGCCTGGATGGGCCCAGGACACTCACGACGGGGCTCTCCCTGCCACTTCCTTTCTTTTGACTGTTTCCCTGTGTTTCTGAGCTAAGAGAATCTACATACCTGTCTTGTGGAAACATGTCATAAACTCTCTTACAAACACACACTCTTAGCACAACGCAAAGCCAGGGGAACTGAGAACAGACTGTGGAAGGACGCTACCCTACACCCGTTCCCTTGGCAAGTTCCTCTAACTCCCCCAAGTCATTCCAGAGGCAGAACAAGTGTGACTTCAGGTTTACAGCACAGGAAGTTAAAGCAGGAAGACAAGCGTTAACTCAAGATGGAGAAAATACCTTTTCCAACTGGGCTGAACTTCAGCTCATGGGGCTCCGGCTTCCTGCCCAGGAGGGTCCCAGGGCCAGGCCCCAGTTTGAGCAGTGCCACGGTTGAGCCCAGAGAAACAGTAACCCAGAGAGGGCAGAGCCCCACCGAGATGCTGCAGGCTGGCTGTGCACTGCCCACACTGGAAAAGCCTGTTTCCAGGGGGCCAGACAACACGGCTCTCTCGAGAACCAGCCGTGGCTCTTTCGTATCAAAACAAATCCAACCACCAGGCCCGGCCCACAGACTGTTATATTCTAAATTAAACAAACTGGAAAACTCTGCTCAGAAGAGGGCAGGGGTGCCTACAGAAAGTGTGCTGATGGGAGAAGGCAGGAAGAACCGGACAGTCTGTGCGGAAAGTGTGACGTGGGCCAAAATCTAGTCAACGGAACGGTTCCCTCCTCTGAGACTAATGTTCACATGGCGCATATGCACAGGTGGAGGGAAAGGATTTCTAGCCACGCTGTTCAGTGCTCTGGAAGAGTCCTCGACCCTAACGTATGCTTTCCAAGGACACTGCCTGAGACTCTGAAATCAGAGTATCTTGCTGGTAAGCAAACACATATACACAAGTTCCAACACTCAGGGATATTCTTGAAGCAGGATCCAGACTTCTCCCCAAACCTGAAAGGCGGCAGTAATCTCTCTGAACCTCAGCTTTCCTGTCTATAAATTGAGCCGATCAGCAGTGTCTTTCTGAGGACATGGGTGCATATGAAACACGTGGTGTAATGCAAAGCACAGAGTAAGTTCTCAGCAGTGACATGTCACGGTGTTAACTACTGGTGGGAAAGCTCCTCAGACAGACCCGGAAAGGATCAGAAACATTTTTAGCATTTATCAAAGGCAGTAAGAACACTCTCTACCTGTAAAATAATCATGTCCGGCCGATACTGCTTCCGCAGTCCCATGTCAAACATCAGGAACTTGAGCATGTTAAACGCTTCTTCTTCGCCCATATGAAGCAGCAAGATGCCTGCCACAAAGCTGAGACCTTGGCAGTAGCCGACTTCCTGGTCTAGAAGCGAGTAGGCCTTCAAAATGTTGTAGAGTGACAGCTGCCCCGCACCCAGCTGGGCGGAGAAGTACGGATGGGTTGGAAAAGTTCTCCCTGTGAAAACAATACACATTAGCTGTGATTAAAAAAGAAGAAGAAGAAAGAAAGCTTATTGAACCAGAAATTGGACATGCTTCAGGTTAAAGCAACAGATCTTTTCAAGTTGGATCATGTCCTAAATCAGCACTTTAAACAAGGTCAGGTGGTTGTTCTTGGAATAATGCTTGCAATTAAAATCAGCAATTATTCATGCTTTCAGGTGAAAGAAATGAGAACCTCCTGTGAGCCTGCAGATAACCTGGATTTCAATGTAAAACCCAAAGAAAACTGTCCATCCTGTAAACATGCATCTACTCTCAGGAGGAGCTGACGCTGTGGTTCTTCACCCCTGAGCCGCCAGCACCATCGCCTTGCCGTGGACACGCCCTGATCAGCTCTTCCCAGGCCATCTGGTTTGCCTGCAATCCGACATTTCTGTTCTTTTAAACTACAGGCAGTGCTTTGAAAGACTGAGGAGCAGCAATTGTTTTCTTTTATACAAGACAGTTATCTCCCAGAAAGAGGTTAAAATAAAAAGCTCTTAACATCCTGATTCTCACAAAAACCTGGCATTTGGAAGGTTTATAAAGACTTCTGTCCAGGAGGCTTTTGTGGTTGATACCTGTCAAATCCCACCTCTCTTCTCCTCCTGGAATGTGACAGACGGGAAAGTGTGTCTCCAGGGAGCAGGGAAGTGCCTGATTAAAAAATGCTCAGCGGGGGCCACACCTGGACCCAGGGGAGAATTACAGCTTCGCCCGGATCAGCAAAGGCAGAAGGTACATAGAGGCCACAAGGTAAATGTTCACCTTAATTACTCAGTCACAGCAAAGGGAGGAGGATACGGTCATGTGTTATTCCCCAGCCCCCTGAGAAAGCATTAAACCAGATCAGTTTTGTTCTGAACTTGATTTAGGGCAGCAACCGCCAAAGAACGACTTTCCTGATTTCTTGTCCTGTATTCTTCTCTCCCACTGCTCTACCTCTCCCGCCAACAAGTCTTCCCTGAACACACCCTGGACGCATCACCCCACTACTGGATGGAAAGCAATCAAGAGCTCCCTAGTGCGGCTCCGCACACTCACCTCCTCACCTACCCTCCCACCATCATGCTCTACTCCAGGCTGGGGGTGGGCAGCCTCTGGTCCGAGCCCCTCCAGGCGCGAGCAGAGCTGAGTGTGCGCACGTGCGAGTGTGAGAGGGTGTGGCTGTGCCCGTGCGCTTCCCTCATCCACAGCAGCATATATAACCGAGCTCTGACGCCAGCCTCGCACATAATGTAACATTCTCCAGTGAATGCATTAAAAAGTAACAGTTGAAATTAACTTTATAGTTTGACCCAACACACACAATACTCTTATTTCAGAGTGTGATCAATATACATATTATTAACAAGACATTTGGCATTCTTTTCCTACTGGGCCTATGAAATCCAGTGTGTTCTTGGTACTGGCACACTTCTCAGTTCCGACCAGCCTCATTCCACCACGTGTTTCAAGAGCCACATGTGGCCGCAGTGCTGGACAGCACAGGGCACGCTCTCCTCAGGTTCTCAAAGGATGCGGGCAGAACTCTGGAGACAGCCCTTCACTCCTTTCCCAGCCCCAGCTCTGCCCCGCCCTGGCGTGCGCGCCTCCCCCACTTTCTCTGGGTCTCAAACAGGAACAGGTGGCAGAGCACAAAGGAGCCGTGCGGCACAGAGGAACACCAGTAAAGGCTTAGCTATTTTTAAATTTCATCTGCCAGTGTCAGCACTTCTGCTCCTCAGATGCCCCTCGTGTTAGATGCCGCCCTGCACAGAAACAAGAGCTCCTGAGAACCAGCCCACCTGATGAGCAGGTATTTCTCATTTAACCCCTGCAGGGCTCCTAGGAGGACAAGCCTGGCAGGCTGCGGAGTGACCCATGCCAATCTGGTCCCTCAACAGCTGTCAGGTTTGAGGGCAACGCCTGCCCGAGCCTGTGTCCTGGGCAGTCACACGGGCTCCGTGCTTAGCAAGGTCTTGTGCTGGGTTTAATGCTCTGCTGTCACCGTCTTAAAACTCTTAATCTTGGAATAGGCTGTTCTGTATTTTTATCTTGCAA